GAAACCTAAGTATACGTATACTTATTGAAGAATCTTCCTATTCCAATCCAAATGGTTTATATTCCTCTTAAATGAAATTATTATATCACATTTTATTCAAAGACATTTCCTTTTCCAATTAAAGTAGTGGTTATTTAATTTTCCTTCAAAACATTATACAAAATATTATCACAAAATTGCGTTACTTTGCTCAATTTAAGTGTTATCACAAAAAATTAAAGAATTTACCGTATAAAATGAAAAAATTTAATTGAAATAGAAAAATTTTTCATGTCAAAAAACACTTGGCGCTGCTAGATCGAGTAAGAAAAACTTTAAAAGCAATTTACAATTAGAATGGTAATTAATAAATATAAATAATCAATGTAATTATATTTTAAATGTAATAATAAAAGTAATAATAAATTTAATCTTAACTTTACACTGAATAAGAATAAATTTTAATATTTATTTCTCTTTTATAACGTATGTTTACAAATCTAAATTTATTTTTCTCGGACTTAAACTTAATAGTATTCACAACGTTCATAATTTACACGGCTCTATAATCAATCGCATATATACAAACACTAGATACTTTAAGTATCTAGTGTTTGTATATATGCGATTGTACTTTAATTGACTTTAAGTATCTAAAAAGATAAGAAAAATAAGAAGCATTCTCATTGGGAATGCTTCTTATTTTTCTTATTTTTTTAAATATTCATATTTTTTAATATGATTCTAATTTTCCTTATTAATATATTATTTTTCTAAATATTACATTTTTTAAGTATTACATTCTTGTTTTTCTTATTTTTCTAAATATTACATTCATATCTTAGTACTATATTATTATATCGAGATCGAGATCTAACAGCGCCAAGTGTTTTTACATGAAAAATTTTTCTATTTAAATTAAATTTTTTCATTTTATACGGTACCTAAATTTTATCTTTAATTTTTTGTGATAACACTTAAATTGAGCAAAGTAACGCAATTTTGTGGTAATATTTTGTATAATGTTTTGAAGGAAAATTAAATAACCACTACTTTAGTTGGAAGAGGAAATGTCTTTGAATAAAATGTGATATAATAATTTCATTTAAGAGGAATTTAAACCATTTGGATTGGAATAGGAAGATTCTTCAATAAGTATACGTATACTTAGGTTTCATTGCATAAAAATTAAAGATAGTACCGTTTGGATTAAGTAAATAATAAAGATAGTATCACTTGAGTTTTACTTTTCATTTTGATAGTCGAATTTAACTTGGCGCCACAGTTGTTGATATCAATTCTTTTATACAAATGATACATATCATAAGATTAATAATTTGACATGGTATAAAGAGAGAGAGAGAGAGAGA